TTTAATTTTTCCCTCTGCCATGTTGGAAGTTATGTACTTACTATAAGTATTCCTGGACTGGTTACCCCAGAAAACTTAACAAGTAGATTTAACTCAGTGAAGTTCAAAATTAATCAGCAGTTTAACTCTGCTCCTGAATAAAACATTTAGAGTAATCTAATTACGTTAACGTCTTCTGGATTTACATGCAGTGTTGCCCACTGCTTTGGTTCCATCTTGTTTAACTCTAAAAAACGGCACAATATTATTATAATTGCATATAGCCGGGGGTTCAGGTTCACTTACATTCCTTCTTGCATCTTGGGCCTTACTTCTGGTGTTATGGTCCTTTTTTCCCAACTATTCTTTAGAAATTGTTTTATTGCTGGTCTAGAGTAATAATCATTCCCAGTTTTTATTTTTTAAAACATGTCTTTTCTGCCCTTTAAATCAACATGTATTGTTTTTAAAATATTATTCTGTTGACTTTGGGCTTCCATCATTGCTGTTTAGAAGTCCACTGTTAGGGGCGCCTGGGTGGCTCAGTTGGTTAAGCGTCTGCCTTTCATTCAGGTCATGATCCCAGGGTCCTAGGATAGCCCGCCGTGGGCTCCCTGCTCAGCTGGGAGTTTCCTTCTCCCTCTGCCCAACCCCATCCTTGTGAGCACATGCTCTCTCTCTCTTAAATAAATAAATAAAATCTTTTTTAAAAAGTCAGCTGTTATTCTAATTGTTTTTTTTATAGGTAATATCTCTTGTCTAGGTGTTCTCAAGTCTTTACATTTTTTTTCTGCTTTGGGATTATCATGTATTTAAAAGGGTTTTTCTCCCCATCTCTCCCCATTTACCCTGCCTGTGATGTGTTAGGCTTCTTGAACCTGAAAAATCTTCAATTCTGGAAGAGCCATTATCTCTTTGAGTATATTTCTCCCATACCCTTTAACATCTCCTTCAGGAAATCTAACTAGACACATTGTAAGACTTCCTTGATCTTAACTTTTCTTTAGGATATCACACTTTTTAAATACTTTTTGCTGTGTTCTGGGTAATTTCTTCATACCTGTCTTCCATTTATTGTCTTCACCTGTGTGTAGTATGTGGTTCACTCCATTCTTTACCCCATTTCAATTACATATTTTTATTTCTTTTTCTTTTTTTTAAAGATTTTATTTATTTATTTGACAGAGAGAGAGATCACAAGTAGGCAGAGAGGCAGTCGGAGAGAGAGGAGGAAGCAGGCTCCCTGCTGAGCAGAGAGCCCGATAGGGGCCTCGATCCCAGGACCCTGGGACCATGACCTGAGCTGAAGGCAGAGCTTTAACCCACTGAGCCACCCAGGCGCCCTACATATTTTTATTTCTAAAGTTTTGTTTGCTTTTTCCATCCCAGATGTGCTTGATCATTTTTGATGTTTTTCTTTCAGTACACTTCCACTTTCCCCTTTTAATTTCTTTTTAAATAATTTTTTTAAAATTCAATTTTTAAATTTAAATTTAGTTAATTAACATATAATGTATTATTAGTTTCAGAGGTAGAGGTCAGTGATTCATCAGTCTTAAAACCTAGTGTTTATATCACATGCCCTTCTTAATGTCTATCACCCAGTTACCTCTTTTCCACTGTTTCCTCCCCTCACAACCTTCATTTTGTTTCCTATGGTTAAGAGTCTGGTATGGTTTATTTCCCTTTCTGATTTTGTCTTGTTTTATTTTTTCTTCCCTTCTCCTATATTCATCTGTTCTGTTTCTTAAATTTCACATATCAGTGAGATCATATGATAACTCTCTTTCTCTGATTGACTTATTTCCTTTAGCGTAATACCCTCTAGTTCATCCACATCGGTGCAAATGGCAATTTTTCATTTTTTGATGACCGGGTAATATTCCATTGTGTGTGTGTGTGTGTGTGTGTGTGTGTGTGTGTGTGTGTTTGTATAACCACCTCTTCTTTATACATTCATCTTTCGATGGACATCTCTGTTCTTTCTACAGTTTGGCTATTGTGGACTTTGCTGCTATAAACATTAGGGTGCAGATGCCCCTTTGGATCACGACATTTATATCTTTGGAATAAATGTCTAGTAATGTAATTACTGGGTTGCAGGGTAGCTCTATTTTCAACTCTCTGAGGAACCTCCATACTACTGTTTTCCAGAGTGGCTGCACCAGCTTGCGTTCCCGCCAACAGTGTAAGAGGGTTCCCCTTTCTCCACATCCTCACTGACATTTGTCATTTCCTGACTTGTTAATTTTAGCCATTCTGACTGGTGTGAGGTCATATGTCATTTTGGTTTTGATCTGTTTTTCCCCGATGCTGAGTGATGTTGAACATTTTTTCATGTGTCTGTTGGCCATTTGTACATCTTTTTTGGAGAAATGTCTTCTACCCATTTCTTGGTTAGATTATTTGTTCTTTGGGTATTGAGTTTGAGAAGTTCTTTGTAACTTTTTGGATACTAGCCCTTTATCTGATAAGACATTTGCAAAGATCTTCTCCCATTCTGTTCCTTGTCTTTTGGTCTTTTGGTTTTGTCCACTGTTTCCTTTGCTGTGCAGAAGCTTTTTATCTTGATGAAGTCCCAATAGTTTATTTTTTGCCTTTGTTTCCTTTGCCTTTGGAGATGTGTCTAGCAAGAAGTTTCTGTAGCCGAGGTCACAGAGATTGCTGCCTGTGTTCTCCTCTGGGATTTTGATGGATTCCTGTCTTGCATTTAGGTTTTTTCATCCATTTTGAGTCTATTTTTGTGTATGGTGTAAGGAAATGGTCCAGTTTCATTCTTCTGCATGTGGCTGTCCAGTTTTCCCAACACCATTTGTTGAAGAGACTGTCTTTTTTCTGTTGGGTATTCTTTCCTGCTTTGTCGATGGTTAGTTGACCATAGACAGAGTTGAGGGTGCACTTCTGGGTTCTCTATTCTGTTTCATTGATTTATGTGTCTAAACAATTTTTTTAAAAAGATTTTATTTAATTGAGAGAGAGAGAGAGAGAGGCAGACTTCCTGCAGAGCAGAGAGCCCAATGCAGGGCTGAATCCCAAGACCCCAAGATCATGACCTTAGCCAAAGGCAGATACTTAACTGACTAAGCCACCCAGACACCCTGTCTCCTTTTAATTTCTTATGATAACTTCATATTGTACCTACATCTCTGAGTCTGTGACTGATCTTTCCAATATTTACAGTCTTTGACTCTGCAGTTTTCTTTTTCTTTCAGCTGTCACTCACGGTAACTTGTTATGTGTGTATGCATTCAAATTGTGAACTCATGGTTCTCAGATACTTACCTGGGGGATTCTCTGAAACCTGTGTTTTGGTATGTTCCTTGGAGAGAATTTGCATTTGCCTCTGTGTACCTGTATGGCACTATCATGCAAAACTACTTTGAGTGTGTTCTGAGGAGGTGTGGCCGCATTTGTATTAAGAATTGTAGTCCTGGTATGCCTGGGTGGCTCAGTCAGTTAAGCGGCTGCCTTTGCATCAGGTCGTGATCCCAGCATCCTGGCATCAAGTCCCACATTGGGCTCCTTGCTCCGCAGGGAGCCTGCTTCTCCCTCTGCCTCTGCCTGCCGCTCTGCCTGCCTGTACTCTTGCTATCTCTCTGACAAATAAATAAATAAAATCTTAAAAAAAAAAAAAAAGGATTGTAGTACTAAACTTGTTTGAGTACAGGTGTGTTGATAGGAATTCTCTAGGGAGGTATTTTTAGTTATTTCCACTCTGCTCAGAGTCAAGGATGAGCAAGGCATGGGTCCCTGCCATCTCCATAAGCCTAATGATATTTTTTCCCCTACTGCATCCAGTCCGATCTAATCTCCACCCTGTTTGGGTCCTACATTTTATCTCTCTTCCTGGCCTCCTGTTTAAATGCCTGTTTCAGTGCTGGTTTATCTCTCTGGCTTTGAGCTTTCTTGGTATTTCTACTTTAAGGATTTCTCTTCAAAGTCAGCCTGCATTTAACGGATTATTATTAGTATTTTTCAACTGATCGCTACCCATTTTCAGGCTTTCCTGGACATCTGTTTTGGAATATTGTCAGAAACCGAAGCCTCCGTCAATTTATGCAGGCATTTTCATCTTTCACATCCAGCAATATTGATGGATAAGAGGTTACCCAATTGGGCACTCTTTGAGAAGGCTAGGGATTCCTTTAGACATAAAAATGTGTAAAATTTGCCTAAGAGATCACCCTTGACAGGAAGGAAGGGAACAGTGGTTAAAAAAATTAAAATAAAATAAAATAAAATAAAATAAAATAAAAATAACTGTTTGACTCTTGGTTTTGGCTCAGATCATGATCTCAGAGTTGTAAGATCCAGCTTGGGCTCTGCACTCAGTTGAGTCGGCTTCAGATTTTCTCTCCCTTTGCTCATCCCTCCCCACCTCTTGTATATGTGCGCGCTCTCTCTCTATCTCAAATAATAAATAAATCTTTAAAAACACATATATGTTTGAAACTCTAGATTTCAGGGTACCTGGGTAGTGTAGTGGGTTAAGTGTCCAATTGCTGATTTCAGCTCAGATCATGATATCAGGGTCATGAGATTGAGCCCCGAGTTGGGTTTTGCACTCAGCAGAGTCTCCTTGGGATTCTCTCTTCTTCTCCCTTTCTCCCCTTCCCTCTGCCTATTCCCCTGCCTCTGTCTCTGTATGCTGGCTCTCTCCCTCAAGTAAATATGTCTTAATAAAAAAAAAAAAAAAAAAAAAAAAAGAAAGAAACTCTAGATTTCTTTTTTTTGAGGGATTTTATAATGATTGTTTTGGAGTGGTGATAGTAAAACTCAACACTTAATATTTATGTATCTCTTATTATGTATTTCACTAATTTTCCAGTATTATTAAGACTGCCATTTGACTGAAGGAGTGTGAAAATAGGTAATACGGTGTTCCTAAAAACTACCATGTCTTTTTGGTTTGTGGAATGTAGGAACTGGACTTTATATTGAGACATTCTCATTTCTAGCTTTATTTCTAGCATTGAAATGTTTGTGGTTTTAATCAAATTGGTCTTACTGTTTTAAAACAGGCTCCAGGCATGGAAGAACTGATATGGGAACAGTACACGGTGACCCTACAAAAGGTGGGTGCTGTACAGTACATGCTACAGTCGTGTCCTTGAGTTCGTAGGTCATGGATCTTACTCATTTTTGCCCAAGCATAGTTTTTCCCCCTTAAGGTGGATGATGCATTGTAGCTGGCAGTAATTACTACATTATCAAAAAGATTTGCACATTACGATTTTTTGGTTAGGGTCTGTGTCCTAGAAAATCATAGAGGTTGTTTAGTGCATTCACTTATCCCCAGACAAAACAGGTTATGGAACAAAGAGAGAAAAGGAGGGGAGAAATGGAAATAACCTGTACTGCTTAAGGATGTTGAGGTAGCTTCTACAACTTTTGTAACTTTTTTTTTAAGATTTTTATTCATTTATTTGACAGAGAGTGCACACAAGCGGGGGGGGGGGACAGCAGGCAGAGGGAGAGGGAAAAGATCCCTGCTGAGCAGAGAGCCCAAAGCAGGACTCAATCCCAGGACCCTGGGATCATGACCAGAGCTGGAGGCAAATGCTTCACTGAGTGAGCCACCCAGGCACCCCAATTTTTTTTTTTAAGTTATTCATTTGAGGGCGGGAGGGAGAGCACACACACAAGCAGGGGTTGGAGCAGGGAGAGGGAGAGGGAGAAGGAGATCCCACTAAGCAGGGAGCCTGACACAGTTCCATCCCAGGACTCCAGGATCATGACCTGAGCTGAAGGCAGGTGCTTAACCATCTGAGCCACCCAGGTGCTCCAGGTACCCCAACTTTTATCAGTGTAATTGTAACATGAAGTCCAAACTGAATTTTGGAACATTGGTTTAGCAGTCAGGAGACATGGGCTGTCTATTCCTTGCCCAACTCATGATCATATTAAGAGGTGCTGACTTAATCAGATTTTTAAATCCTCCCCTCTTGCCCATGGGATTGAAAGTAGTAGTATCAGAAATAAATGTATTTCACTCAATTATGAGTTATTTCACAGCTACTGCTCCTCTTGAGTAAATGAGGTCATACAAACAGCTTTTGTACATGGAGTCCAGCACACAGTGGTTGCTTAATAAATGTTGGCTCTGTTCCTTTTTATTCTTCTGACAGCAGTCTTAGGTAGGCACGATAGGTGTTAGTCCCACTCGATACAAGCACAGCCACCAAGAGTTGGTGTGGGATCTGTGTGCGCCTGGGCTAACCTGACCAGTCCTGAGGTCTTCCTCCATCAGCTGCCCTGGTCAGCATCCCTGTGACTTTTGTGGGCTCTGCTGGGATCTTAGTACTCCTCTGAATCCCTCCAGGCTCTGGACTGTAAATTCCTAGAAGGACTGTAAGTTCCTCAGAGGGAGAGTTTTCCTTAGAACTGTGAACTATTCAAACCCTGACTTTGGTGAAAAGTTAGTTCCTGTATACATGAATTAGCTTAATCCTGGTAGGAAAAAACCCAGATCAGTGCTTAGGTGCCCAGACTTTCGGAGCAGTGACATAACACCATTTCTCCTGGTTTCCCCCCTTGAGTTTTACTTTTTAACCTTAGTCCTCTTCTGACTTTTCTCTGCACCCTGCCACCAGCATTTCACATGCCCCTTTCAGGGGCGAAGGTGAGAAACATTTTAGGTCTAGTATAGGGATGGAGCTACCTCTGTATAAAACAGCTACTCAGATGATGGTGCTGCCCCATCCAAAGCCACGTAATTAAGGGACAATCGGCTAGCCTGTTTGGTATTGCTAATTGTTTGTCTCTAGTTGGCACAGTGGGTCCCATGTGGGAAATCTTCCATAGTGGGGGTGGGGGTGGGAAGACATGACTTTGTTTTATTCTCTGAGTACATGTCTATATAAGCAACCTTGATTTATAATTATAATCACATTTAGCCATATCATCTGGATGAAACCTAGGGAGCTTAGCTTTATTAAAGGTTTTATTTTTAAGTAATCCCTACACCCAACCTGGAGTTTGAACTCACAGCCCCAAGTTTAAGAGTCACATGTTCCACTGACTGAGCCAGCCAAGTACCCAGGGAGCTTAGCTTTTTTAAACACTGAAATGGGTTAGGGTTATGTATTAAGTGGGTTCTCTGTTCTACATTTCTAGACGAATCATGATGTAATTCATCTAGACTCTCTGTCTTCTATTCATGCAGGAAGGAGTTTAATGCTTTGCTCTCTCAGAAGGCCCTAAAACCAAGTTTATCTTCAGAATTTACTTTATCTTTAAAATCCGTTTACTTTTTTGGTCATCCTATGTTAAACCACAGTTCACCTAACTTGAAAGTTAAAGGTATACTTCAAAAATGGGGTTTTAGCACAGGTACAGGTATGACCGAAGCGGTCTCAGCTCAGGCCGGGATATGAGAAGAGTATGACTGGTGATTTGAAAAGCACATCCCGGTGTGGACAGAAGATGTTATTTCCCATCCCCTGCCAGCTTCTACTGATAACTCCAGTCTTTACTATCCATCTTTTATGGCTTTTCGCAAGACTGTTTCTTTTAGATAAGGAATTTCCCTTTCTAAACCTGTCAGCCAGCCACGATGGTGCTTTATTTCGTTTCTCATTTGTTTCTGTAAACCTCTGTTCCTGAGCGGTCTCTGGTTATTGGTCTGACCTTTCTTTTATTGAGTGCTTGTAATAAATCCTAAGAGCCACTTACGGAAGAAGGATTTCTTAAAAAATTTTTCTTTTAACTCCAATGAACAGGATTCCAAAAGAGGATTTGGAATTGCAGTGTCTGGAGGCAGAGACAACCCCCACTTTGAAAATGGAGAAACGTCAATTGTCATTTCAGACGTGCTCCCCGGTGGGCCCGCTGATGGGCTGCTTCAGTGAGTGTCCTTGTGTCCCAGCCACAGCCCCTGCCGGCCCCGATGGTTGGGTCTAGACAGGGTGCTTGGGTGGAGGTGGGGTGGAGGGGGAGGGGGTGGTGGCATGCACTTTAGAAAAAGGAGCTTTTACATAAATTGAAAAGTTTTAGGAGAGGGGGGCAGGGGAATGGGGTAATGGGGTGATGGACATTAAGGAGGGCATGTAATACAGTAAGCACAGGGTATTATGTGAACTGCTGAACTCTCGACCTCTGAAACTAATAATACACTACATGCTAATTAACTGAATTTATATTTAAAAAATCATTAAAAGAAAAAAAGAAAAGGGTTTTTTTTTTTTTTTAAGATTTTATTTATTTATTTGAAAGAGAGGCAGTGAGAGAGAGCATGAGCGAGGAGAAGGTCAGAGGGAGAAGCAGACTCCCCGTGGAGCTGGGAGCCCGATGCGGGACTCGATCCCGGGACTCCGAGATCGTGACCTGAGCTGAAAGCAGTCGTCCAACCAACTGAGCCACCCAGGCGTCCCCAAAAAGAAAAGTTTTTAAGCAAGAGTTGATACTGGAACACACCATGTTTTAACTATCCCTGAACCTTTGGAAATATCCAAACTTTGGAGGGAGGAGAGCAGTCATTTACACGGGGAAATGGTTATAATTAACCCAGCTGTCATTCCTAGGCTTAGGAGTCATTTCTGAATCTGAAGTACAAAATCAGCATGCTTTCCCCCCTACCCCCATCACTTTGTATTTATTTCACCTTATATTCATTCGGAATTCAATGAGGATACTTTGGCCTAATGATGATCTGATTTGTAAGAGGAATGTGGAAATTGGGAAGATTTAGTACATGCAAACACAGAATTTCCAATTTCCAGCCTTCTGGTCTGAACAGATCACACCATTTTAAAAGATGCCTATCTGAATTCCCTCCAGATAATTTCTCAGGGCAGAAACTAAAATTAATTATATAACTGCCTTGGCTAGAGAGCTCAGAAGTTTAGGTTCTGTTGGCGTTTCATGTCTGTATGGTCATATCTAAGTCAGCAGTCTTTCATGCAGACAGCAGTGTAGAATTAAAAAATAATTTTTGGGATGAGGTAAGAAGTTTTGAATGACCTCAAAATTTCTTTAATAATCAGAGGCAAACTCCTGATTTCTTCCCCTTCCCTGAAAAATACAGGTGGATATCAGCCTGCTTTGGGGGCTAATTGTAGACTTTCTGAAGCCCACCGTGCACCTTCGGTGGGGGAGGGCCTGGTGCAGAAGTTCCTTTTGTGCCTAGACCTTGCCACTGCTTGAGTGCCTCCTGGAGGAGCCCTTTGGTGGGGGTATTCCCTGCTGGTTTCCAGTAGACAGTGTCAAAAGTGGGCTGAGCTGCTCATGGGTTCCTTCCTGGGAAGGGCTCACACTGAGTTGACTGACTGAGCCTCAGGAGTCATCAGGCACTGAGTCCTTTAAGCGTTTGGAGTCAATTTGCTGCTTCTGTGTGTTCCTAAATAAGTGATTTACAGTGAATAGATGGGAGTTTTTCAGGTCTTGTTTTTATTTTTTGTTTGCAGAGAAAATGACAGGGTGGTCATGGTTAATGGCACCCCCATGGAGGACGTGCTCCATTCATTTGCTGTTCAGCAGCTGAGAAAGAGTGGGAAGATCGCTGCCATTGTAAGCCCTGGTTTGCTTTCAGCTTGCCTCAATAGCGTCTTGTTTTTATGCTCAGAGGAAAATTACCACTTGCTTGTAAGGGCTTGACAGAATTACATAATTTAGGGACTGCTAATTTCTTGCTTCCTCTACTTTGGGGTGACATTTCGGATGATGTAAAGATGTAAGCAAGCTCTCCCTGCCTTTTCCTCATTCTTTTCCTAACTTTCAATGATTCTCTTATCTCAGGAACCAGCTTAGACAATCCTAAGAGAATTAACTAGACTGAGAGAGAACATTTGTAAGACAGCGTTTATATAGAAAATATATTTCAGCTCAAAAACACATTTGTAAAGGCCCAACCAAGAACTGTCATGTGTTAATGAAATAGGCTGTCCTAGGCGATAACTGGCAGTCTGTAGCATTCATTCATTTATTTGCTCACTCATTCATTCAGCAAACACTGGATGAGAATCAGCTTTGAGCCAGATGCCTCCTGAGCCTGGAGCAAGGGGTGCTTACTCCAGCCAGGCAAATGGACACGTACAGCGAAAATTGAAATACAGTATGTTTAAAGGCAGTGCTGGGGGGAGGTACCGGGTGTGTGGTTATTTTTCTTTTCCCCCAATGATATATTATGAAATTTTCAAACAGAGAAGTTCAAAGATTAGTGTAATAAACGCTATATCTTATACAGTATTAATATTCTACCATCTTCACTCGATTTTTCTATGTATACAAATGCATATTTTTAGTGAACCATTTGAAAGAAAGTTGCAGACATGACAGTGTCAATCCTACATACTTCAGTGCACATCTCCTAAATAAGAACATTCTTCTCCATAACTAGAACACTATATCATCCTATCTAAGGAAATTAACAGTGACTTTAAAGTATCATCTAATATCCAGTCCAAATCCCAAGACATGTTTGATAAGATTTTTATTCCCCATCCAGAATCCAGTCAGAGCTCATACTGCACTGGGTCCTTATCTTTTCAGTGCCTTTTAATCTAGAAGTGTCCTTATTTCACCACCTCCGCCCCCTCCCAGACATTGACTTTTGGATGAATCTAGGCAGTTTTAATCTAGAATGTCTCGATTTCTGGAGTTTTTAACTTAGGGATTTAAAGTTCCTTGATGCTATTGAGTATAGAATCAGATTTTTGAAGGCACTGTGTTTAGTTATACTCATTGTCTTATTCTCAGCCCTGTGAGGTATTTTTTTCCCCCAAGGAACCAGGGGCTTAGTGAGTTGAGGGGGACAGAGAGTTACTGAAAGGAGAACCAGACTGGGCTCTTAGCCACTGCATTCTCTGTATTTAATTGTCCTTGTCCTGCGTCCCCACTGTGTTTGGGTGACAGGTGGTCAAGAGGCCCCGGAAGGTCCAGCTGGCCCCGCCCCAGGGCAGCCCACCCATCAATGAGGATGACCGTGCTTTTGAGGTGATGGACGAGTTTGATGGCAGAAGCGCCCGCAGCGGGTACAGCGAGAGGAGCCGGCGCAGCAGCCACGGAGGGCGCAGCCGCAGCTGGGAGGACAGCCCGGAGAGGGGGCGTCCCCACGAGCGGGCGCGGAGCCGGGAGCGCGAGCGCAGCCGTGGCCGGAGCCTGGAGCGGGGTTTGGACGACGACGACTACAGGCGGGCCCGAGAGCGCAGCCGTGGCCGGAGCCTGGAGCGGGGTTTGGACCACGATGACTACGGGCGGGCCCGAGAGCGCAGCCTCGGCCGGAGCACTGACCGGGCCTATGACCAGTATGACCAGGCCTACGACCGGGGCTATGACCGCGGCTACGACCGCACCTACAGCCCAGAGGCAGAGTATGGCCGCAGGGCCCAGCCCGATGCCCGGTACTCGGCGCCTCGGAGTCGCAGCCGCGAGCACTTGCACTCCCGCAGCCCCAGCCCTGAGCTGAGGGGGCGGCCGGACCACACAGGCCAGTCCGACTCGGACAGGCCCATCGGGGTCCTTCTGATGAAAAGCAAAGCAAATGAAGGTAGGCATGCTCGAGGAGGAAAAGCACTGTTACAACAGCTAACTCTTACGTGGCACTTACTCTGTGCCAAACACTGATCCAAATGCGTTGCACCGATTGGTTCATTTCTTCCTTATGACCACCTCATGTGGGAGTTTCTTACATCTTCATTACATAGACAAGGAAAGTGAGGCACAGAAACGTTCATTAACTTGCACAAAGCTATCAGTAATGGCAGAGCCAGGCTGCTGAAATGAACCTTTAAACTCCTAGGCGGGGTTCTCAAAGCAGCTTAAGCACCGCCTTACAGTAAATGCAGATTCTCAGGCCCCAGCTCTGCCCCACAGAACCAGAAACCCTGGAGAGAGCCCTTGGAGTCTGTGTTAGCAAGCTCTCCTGGTGAGCATGGTGTGGCTTAAGTGGTGAAACATTGGGAGTGGATAGGACTCTAGCTGATCTTGAGTTTTGGCCTATGCTGCATACATACTCTCTTAGTCCTCACCAGAACCCTATGTGGAGGTAGGAGACTTCCTTCCGGTTGTGTACAGTGGGGAGGACCATCGGGCAGAGAGGTTTTGGCATGCCCACAGATGAGGAGGGCCCTAGCCCAGGCCGCCTGTCCCGCAGTGCATTGCTGGGAGCACTTGCATACCTTTCATTTCATCCAAAATTCAGTAAAGCCCCATGTGGCAGCTAGAGAAGCCAGTGGTACCTGTAGTTTAGGTGACGATCTAAACTCCGAGATGGGAAGTGACTTGCTTGGATCTCGAAGCCAGTAGATACGTGGCAGAGCCAGAACTTGAATCCCGTCTCCTGGAAGTAGATGATCAGAAACACGAAGGTGAATGAACAGGGCGTTAGGGCCAGTGCAGAGGTGTTCCTTACATCACTTCTTGGTTCTGACTTTTTAAATTACTTGAAACCTATCTCTTTTCTCCTTCTGTTCCCTAATTTTTCCAAGACGAAAAGAAGAGCACCCCAGAATGCAAAGGGAACTCCTTGCCCTTTAGGTTGGGAACTTGGATTTCAAATGGCTTGTCTGAGGAAAGAAAGGGAAAGGGTTTTTTTAATTCTAGTGGAACACAAAGTCGAATTATAGAACTAGGTACCCATCACAATACCTGAAGAATAACACAGGGACGTGAGTAACGGGGTACGTAGAGACCAGTCCCAGAAGACAAAGGAGAAATAGAGACTGCACTATCAGTAAGTAATGTGCATCTTAGGAGGCTTAAGCATCTATAGAATCTTTATAACCACTGGTAATGACATACTAATTCATCAGTTCCCAGAAACTGTACAGTAGAAATAGCTCTGCTCCCAGACTGAAGGGTGGACTGTAGAGAAATTTTGGGAATGACTTGGCATGAGACCTCCTTCAGAGAGCCCTGATGCACATTCTATAGGACTTGTACCCCAGGTTTTTGAGCTAACCCAAGGCAATGCTTTTCAAACTTTCCTCTTCCCCTTTCTCCTCCTAGCCTCCTCCCCTTTCCCCTTCTCTCTTCCTCTCCTTCCACCATAGAAAGACCCAAATTTTGCAACAATCCTGGATGTACCTCCGTATCAAAAACTTGAACAAGCTTTTCATGGAACAGAACTTATTCTGTGTAATGCATTCTGAGAGCTTCCATTACATTAAATTTTTAAAATGCTGTTCATGACTTATTAAGTTGATTTTAAGACTCACTAATGAGTTGTAAACCACAATTTGAAAAGATCTTTACTGTTGTAGGTGATTGCCCAAGTCATGCCTCGTCTTAGTAATACTATCAAGGATAAAAGGGGCTTACGTACCTTTGTTGAGATAAAATTTTACTCCTCCTGGACCATTTTGTTATTTAAACTTGGAATTCATTGGGGGAATAAGTTTCCTTTTTTTTTTTTTTTTTAAGGTTTTTTGCCACCGTTTGCTAGGATTGCACAGTAATTTAGCTATCATCGGCTAGGGCTGCACAAAAATTAATCTTTAAAGAAATCTAGCAGTAGGCAAGACTTAATTTGACTAAGAAAAATATCCGTTTATATAGCCTGTTGTTACACTTCATGGGCACCAGACCGCTTTGCTGGTAAATGTCTTAGAAACTGCTCAATTTTTTTTTTCTCCATTTAAGAGATGCCCTCAAAATACACCAGTTAACAACCTGTTTGCAACTATACAGTAAGACTGCAGCTTTTAAGAGGATAGAGGAATTGTTGAGCTTCCTTCCGACTCTTGGTTTTGGCTCAGGTCATGATTTCTCAGTCTTGGGATGGAGCCCTGTGTTGGGCTCTGTGCTTAGCGCAGAGTCTGCTTTAGATTTTCTTTCCCTCTCCTTCCTGCTCACTCTCTCTCTCAAATAAATAAATAAAAATAGAATCTTTAAATTATATTATTGCGGCGCCTGGGTGGCTCAGTCAGTGAGGCATCTGCCTTCAGCTCAGGTCATGATCTCAGGGTCCTGGAATCAAGCCCCGCATCAGGCTCCTTGCTCAGTGGGGAGTCTGCTTCTCCCTCTGCCTCCTGCTGTTTGTGCTCATTCTCTCTCTCCCTCCCTCAAATAAATAAAATCTTAAAAAAAAAATAGTTGTATCATTATATTGTAAACCTGAAACTAATATAACATTGTATGTTAATTATAGTTGAATAAAAAAATGTGTCTTTAAATTTACTTCATAACTTTTCTAAATGGTAGAAAGTTACTTTGTTTTGGAATTAAAAGATTTTGAGTCCAGAACAATAATAATAAAATTTGAATGTGCCCCTTTTAAAACCTGCTAGGTTGTGGTACCTTCCTAAAATAACTAACATTTATCCTTAAGTTAGGTATTTTTACAAGTTTCATAAGTAAAATTAGATGAGTCTGAATAGTATTTAAAATACTTTAAAATATGCATACTTAAAATAGAGTGTGTTTTCTTTTAAGAGCAATTCAGATTTCATAAACCCCCAGAATATGCTCGTTTTAGTTAAAAACTTTATTGCTTTGCTTGGTTTAATGACCCTTTTCCTTTGCACAATGAAATTTTTTCAGTGCAAACCCCACATGTCTCATTTGTTACACACGAAGGGAATACTTTGGCAGTGTCTTCCTGTAGGCAACAGGGCTGTCAGCAGAACATGTTTACTGAAATGTACTGAATTGTGTTTTTTTTTTTGTTCCCAATTTAATGTTAAGTGTTAATTTTAGAGCAGATACTCATGTTGCCTTTACCTAGTTTTTCCATTTGCTAACATTTTGCCACATTTGTTTTCTTTCTCCTTTTTTCCCCTTCTTCCTCTCCTTTCCCACACTACTACTGTCTCTCAGTAGTTTTTTGGAACTGCTTGAAAGTAAGTTGCAAAGGTGGCCCTTTACCGCTAAATATTTCAACAGGTATCTCCAGAGGATAACATTCTCCTACATAACTCTAATGCCATTACTGGTGGGTTTTTTTTTTTTTTTTAAAGATTTTATTTATTTATTTGACAGACAGAGATCACAAGTAGGCAGAGAGGCAGGCAGAGAGAAAGGAAGGGAAGCAGGTTCCCTGCTGAGCAGAGAGCCTGATGTGGGGCTCAGTCCCAGGACCCTGGAATCATGACCTGAGCCGAAGGCAGAGAGAGGCTTAACCCACTGAGCCACCCAGGTGCCCCCCCATTACCGGTTCTTAAGAAAATTAACATTAATATCCCTTTTAATATGCTGTAGTATGGTTCATTTTGAAGTTGCTTCAAAATACGTAACTGCCAGCCCCCCCCCCATGTCCCATTCTGGATCGAGGATCTAGTGAAAGTTCATGCATCACATTTGGTTTTTATATTGTTTTAACTCTAGAACAATCCCTCTGTCTATTGTTTTTTGTGACACTAATTTTTTCAGTGAGTCCAGGCTAGTTGTCCTACAGAATGTCCCACAGGCAAAATCAGTTTTTCGTAAATATATATATTTTTTTAAGATTTTATTTGTTTATTTGACAGAGATAGATCACAAGTAGGCAGAGAGGCAGGCAGAGAGAGAGAGTCCCGATGCGGGACTCGATCCCAGGACCCTGAGATCATGACCTGAGCCGAAGGCAGAGGCTTAACCCACTGAGCCACCCAGGCGCCCCGTAAATATTTTTAAATTGACCTAAAAACCAGATTAAATATTCTGAACAAGTGGATGAAATATGTATGTTTGTCCCCTAGAATACGGTCTTCGGCTTGGGAGTCAGATCTTCATAAAGGAAATGACCACAACTGGTCTGGCAACTAAGGACGGCAATCTGCATGAAGGAGACATAATTCTCAAGGTGGGAGTACGAGGGGAGAGGACAACTGAATTCATGTTTGGCTTTCTAGTCCAAATTTCACATCTGAGTGCTGACATAGTGAAGCTTGGTTGAGATGGGAGACAGTAGTAAGACAAAAGCTGGGAGGGGACAGTAAGGTGAGATTTTTATCACAAAAAGCAGACATGGAGATTTTTAATAGTGTAGTGTCAGTTAAAAAATAACAACAACAACAAAAAACTCAATGAATACCTTCTTCTTCCCCATTTATTTAAAGTTTAAGCTCCTGTTCCCTAAACTAAGGAAAGATGAGGGAAGAGTTGGTAGTATTGAATGCTGAATGTTTAATATGTTTCTATAAACCTCTCTAGTCAGGAAACATGTTCCAGTAGTAAACCAATCCATTGTCTTGAGCTTGGAAGTTAAATAAATTAGCAGAGTAACTTCAGTATACCATAGTTCTCTTATGCCTGTATTTGGGATCCAGCTGTACAGAGTCATATTTAATTTGAAGGATAATTCATTTTTATTTAGTCAGTCTTCCTAAAGCCCATGTCTGTTTGAGTAGCTAAGCAGAAGCCTTTACACTTTTAGAAGGGGAAAATAAAAACTTCCTGTTTCACTGTGCGTAGTTGTATTGCATGTAACATGACTGTTACTCATGAACACAGATAAACGGAACTGTAACTGAGAACATGTCTTTAACGGACGCTCGAAAACTGATAGAAAAGTCAAGAGGAAAACTTCAGCTGGTGGTGTTGAGAGACAGCAAACAAACGCTTATCAACATCCCATCGTTAAATGACAGCGACTCAGAAATAGAAGGTAAAGAAAGGGGGAGGCTGTGAGCTTAGCCGGAAGCAAGGAAGGCTGTTGCTTTTGCAACTCAGTTTAGCATAGCCATCTAGCTGGAAGCTAAATTTCCAACAAAAGCTTCTCTTTTAAACTTTAATTCCGGTAAATGGTGGCTAATTTCTTGTTATAAAGTGTCTGTTGAGATTAGTTTCCCAATAAGACATTTGGATGCACTCATGAACTTCCCAGTGGACTCTGCTTTAGGCCACTGAAAATGAAACTTATTAGTAAAAAATGTATGTATGAGTGGTTCAAAGACCTAACCACACCCATTTGTAAATGGTTCATTCTTGCACTTTCTTGTAGATTTTTAAAAAGTAGGTATGAATATTTCCAACAAAGAGAGGGTCATATGGAAGAGAGCTAAAATAGGTAGACATTATAGTAAAGAATTGATCAGAATGGCTGAATATTATGGTATGCATTGATTAGCAGTCTGTATCACCTCTTCTGTCTTAGGAGGCAATATTCATTTCTTGAATATGAATTATACATGGGGTAACATTTTAACTATGTATAAATTACCAATAAAAATAAGTAGGCATAAAAAAAATAACTAGGATGATATTTCCTAACTAATTATCTGGTACTACCTTCATGCAGTAGAGTTTAGAAAATAGTAAGTTCTCAAGTTTGAAGACAGATGTGTTGATTTTTTTAAAGAATTACTTCATAAAATCTGAAGACTTAGTTTAGCTTCCATTATAACAAAAGTCTAATCATTTGGTTACTGCTGTGGATGCAGTGCAGGAAGACAGCATGAGAAATAATCCCAGCATGCTAGGTGCTTATAGTTACTTGCTTGCTATTCCAAGCTTCAGCCCACCAGCTCCATGAACATCCAGGAGCTTGCTAGAAGCACAGAGTCGCAGGCCCTGCCCCAGAACAGCTACATTCTAATTCAGATCCCAGGTGACTTATATGCACATTAAAGTTTGAGAAACTCTGTTCTGTGTGGTTAAAAATGAGTGTATACATATATGATCCAGTAATAGATTTTGATTTCCCAGTAGCAGCTTTGAAGGAAAGTGTAATGAAAGAGGAACATGAAATTCTGAATTTGGCTTCCTCTTTATTAATTAATGCCTTTCCCTTTAGAGGCTTAGATTTTCTTCAAGGGAAGACTGCTAGACTAATGGCACAGTTTCTACCTGCCTCTTTTCCATTTCCCATGTTGCCTTACCCAGAGAATAGTATCATTTCTGGTACAGTTCTTAAATATTTTAGTAAGAAGTCTTTTCTTATTTTTGAAACCAGATATCTCAGAAATAGAGTCAAACCGATCATTTTCTCCAGAGGAGAGACGGCAGCAGTATTCTGATTATGACTATCATTCCTCAAATGAAAAGCTGAAGGAAAGGCCAAAGTAAGATGATGTATATTTTCCCTCACACGCGACCCCATGAGTGTACACACATGCATATGTGCAGTGACGTTATGAGACATTAACGTGATGTGTGCTTAAGTTCAAGAGAGGACATGCAGAACAGATGGTCCAGGATGGGCGCCACACCCACTCCCTTCAAGGCCACGGGGGATACTGCAGCTGCGGTTGGCACAGAGAACAGCAAGGAGCCCAGATACCAAGAGGAACCACCAGGTGAAGGTCCTTGTAAACGTATTCAAAAGTGTATGCTTGGTAATTCCAGAGGATGGCCAGAAGGAGAGAGAAACTTAAAAAAAAAATCATTCTTATACATGGAAGAGGGACTCCAGTCTCTCTCTTTTAATAGTAAAAAAACATAAAGAATAACAGCCCTTTCCATATTATAACGGATTGGCCACATTTTGTTATATTTAATTAGTTATGGTCCTTGTGTCATCCCTGATCTCAACCCAGACTGCTCTGCTCTTAAGATTCCTGACAGCACATGTATGCGTTTCTTCCCCTGCTCAGCTACCAATTCTCAGATTCTCCAGGCACCAAGTGGTTGTCTGTTCAAGTCAGTTCTGGCACTGACTGCCCAGAACTAGTGCACAGCCTGCAGGTGAGCAACTCAGTCCAGTAAGATGCTTCCATTTCAGACACCACTCCCGTTCCCAGGAGCCACCCATACTTCTGTCCAGTTGGATCTGAACGGAGGGCTCCCGCTGCCCTTCCTCACTCAGGCTTGATAACTTGCTAGGCTGGCTCAGAGAACTCAGGAAAGCCCTTTGCTTACTATTACCAGTTCTTATAAAGGATACAACTGAAGAACAGCCAAATGGAAGCGAGGTATGAGGCAAGGGGCGCAGGGCTGCTGAGTCCTCTCCAGGTATACCACTGTTCCCGTGTCACGATGTGTTCGCCAACCCTGAGGCATTCCAGTCTCCACGGTTGATGGATTCTTATGGAGTCTCTGTCATGGGCATGATCAGTCTCTGCCTCAGTCTCCAACCCCCGTCGCCTCCCAGATGGTGGGGAGGTAGGCTGAAAGTTTCAAGCTTCTAATCGTGGCTTGCTCTTTCCGGTGACCAGCCCCCAACCAAGGCTGTCTGGGAGTTATCTCTTTAGAACAAAAGATGCTCTGCCACCCAGGAAATTCCAAGGGATGCAGCAGTTCTTTGTCAAGAATTGGAGACAAAGAGGGATGCTTCTGACACCCCTACCACTCTGGAAATTACAGGGATTTTAGGAGCTGTATATCAGGAACTGGGGCAGAGACCAAATATATCTATTTCCAGTCCTGTCACAGTCACATTTTGTCTTATTTGATTAGTTGAAGTCCTTTTTTGTCTCCTGCCCCTGGTCTCCACCCTAGCCCCTAGCCCTGCCCCCCATCACCCTAAAATTACCATCATGATTTTACATGCTTAAATATTTATTGATGGAAAAGATTTATATGGTTTTTAAGTGACAAAAATGCTCTCTTCTTTTGCATGTGATTGTGCATTTTGGAAGTTTCATTTGTTACCCCACTTATTTTGAGAAACCATTGGCACTTTCTAATGCCTCAACATTAAACTTGACTTTAAAGACTTTTTTTGTTGTTTGATGTAATGACTTAAACATAACATAAGGTACAGACTTGAATTTTGTGGATTTTATGATCTTTATAGAAACAGACTCACTTCCGTTAATCCAGGTTGATAATGATAGACTTTTTTTTTTTTTTTTTTTTTAATCCACAGCTCCTCAACCAAAAGCAGCCCCAAGAACTTTTCTTCGTCCTAGTCCTGAAGATGAAGCAATCTATGGGTATGTATTTCAGTCTCTTTCTCTCTTTTTTGCTTTCTCCTTCTACATACCTCAATCTCCTGAACTGAAATCCAGAAGAATGGTACTTTTTAACTACAGATGATGTTTTTGTATAATTAGCCACCTTTAACCAACCTCTACCGCTGGTGTTTATGAGAAAGAAGTAATTTGTAGGAAAGTAAAATGTGGAATTCGGGGAACTTTGTGAAGTTCACTTTGAATGCTTGTCTACTTCTCTGGCTACTTTTCCACAATGTGATTCTGAGTAGTTGAGTTTACCAGATCTGTAACTCTCAAATAGGTGCAGTGCTGTATCACTACAGGGCCTCTGCAGGGGCTGCTGTGCTCTGATGATCCTGGCCTGCGGAGGGAGGGAAGAAATGACCCAGTGCTGAATTTGGGATAATGAGAGCCCCTTGTTTAGTGGTGGTCAAGAGCAGCAGCTCCTGGAGTAGGATCTGGCCTTGATGAACCCAGGCTGTGGCAGCAGTAGGCTTTTTTTTTTTTTTTTTTTTTTTTAAAGAATCCTGGACTGGCAGTCAGATGGCCTAACCTTGCCTTTTATTTGTTTTCTAATGTTGAATGAGTTTATTTAAACATCTGTATTTCTACTTACTAACCAGTTAAGTGGGCCTACTGTTAATCCTCTCACAGTCCCAAAAAAGATAAAATGATAAAAATGAGAGCTTTTTAACATGTAAATCTTTCTACAGATAGAAGAAATTAACTCTTTCACTGCTAATGTTGGTTCTTCCTTTACAAAGACAAATCTTCCATCTTTCTTTTCTAAAACTGAACTCACTACAGTCCCAACACCAAAATGGTGAGGTTTAAGAAGGGAGACAGCGTGGGTCTCCGGTTGGCTGGTGGCAATGACGTTGGGATATTTGTGGCTGGCATTCAAGAGGGTACCTCAGCAGAGCAAGAAGGCCTTCAAGAAGGGGACCAGATTCTGAAGGTAGGAAAGACCATCCCTGTTCTAGACATTACTGGGAAAGAGTGGGATTTTCTGGGGCCTTATTTTTTGTTAATTTTTAAAAAAATTTTATTTATTTATTTGACAGAGATCACAAGTAGGCAGAGAGGCAGGCAGAGAGAGAGAGAGGGGGAAGCAAGCTCCCTGCTGAGCAGAGAGCCCGACTCGGGGCTCGATCCCAGGAACTGAGATCATGACCTGAGCCAAAGGCAGAGGCTTAACCCACTGAGCCACCCAGGTGCCCCTTCTGGGGCCTTATGAAAGGGAAGGGGAAGTAGTCTAGCTTGTGAAAATAGACCAGTTGCAGGTTGATGCCAAGTGTAAGGTCTGTTTCCCTCGAACTTTCTTCTCATTCCTGGAACTCAAAACTCATCCCTATGTCTGTGGGAATTTACAGTGTTCAAGACCCTTGCAAAGAATTTTTTCTTAAGATTTTATTTATTTGACAGACAGAGACACAGTGGGAGAGGAATACAAGCAGGGAGTGTGGGAGAGGGAGAAGAAGCAGGCTTCCTGCTGAGCAGGGAGCCTGATGTGGGCCTCGATCTCAGGACCCTGGGATCATTGATGCAAGCCGAAGGCGGACGCTCAAAAACTGAGCCATCCAGGTACCCCCTTGCAAAGATTTTTATTAGTTTGCTTAACAAAATGAGATTCTATCTTAAGGCCTGGGAGGAAGATCTCTGTGGCAAAAGATCTTGCTAAAGTTTGGTTTTTGTTGATTCCCTGTCTGGTTGTCACTCTTAAGGCCACGTGTTGTACTTGAACAAAGGTGGGTTTTGGCTTAGATCTTTAGACCTGAATCCAGTCCCAGCCTCTCATTAGTTCTGTGACCCTTATTCAACCCTGAGACTCACGTTTCTCTGTTTGTTTAATGGGGATGAGAATACCTGCCTTGTAGGGGCTCTGGGGAGATTAGAATGGGTAATAGCAGTTTTTGGCATAAAGTAGGAAAATCAAGGTCCGTTCTTTTCGCCATTGGAAAATAACAAGTTGCTGCCACTCAATACGTTTACATCTAAAATTGACCAGGAACAGTTAATCAAATATTGATCCTTTTAAGGTTACTATATGTATGTTTATATAATCCATCGGTTTTAAAAAATAGTAAACAGGGGCACCTGGGTGGCTCAGTCAGTTAAGTGTCTGCCTTTGGCTCAGCTCATGATCTTGGGGTCCTGGGATCAAGCCCCTTGTCAGGCTCCTGCACAGCAGGGAGCCTCATTCTCCCTCTCCCGCCCCTCTGTCCTCCTTGTCCTCTCTCTCTTGCTCTATTTCAAATAATTAACATCTTAAAAAAAAAAACCAAAAAACTCAGCTTTGACATTTCATGAGATACATATATTGTCCATTGACTTACGTATAAAAGTCAAGGATGTCAAGTATCTTGTGACTATATACAAATTTGTCTTTACTGGAATTTCTGCTTCTGTAAACTTGCATTTCTTATGAGATATTAGGGGATCTGGTATAAACATCTCAGTTCAAAGGAGAGGGGAGGAAAAAAAGCTGAACAGTTTTTCAGGAAGCAGGCAACAGAGCACAAAAGTAGATGCTCCTCTTCCTTCTTGGCTCTTGGCCTCATTGCAGTAGTTCAGATTTCATTTCTGGAGCAGATGAAGGGCAAACCTTGATCATGAGCTTTGCTGAAGCTTTCCACTGACATTCTAGACCTCTTTGGCTCTGGTCATGGTCCTAGAAGACTAAGTATATCTGAGTAAACCTTGTGGTACCACATGATCCCAGGAAATACCACTTACCAAGTGCTCCTGATAAGAATCCCATCAGAGTGCCAACTCATACCAGTTTACTCTTGAGCTGATGCCAAAGAAGAAAAAGCATTATTTCCTGACTAGTGTGGGGTATATGAAGTCAGGAATTTGGAAGCCTTTGCTCATGAAGGTTCAAGGATAAAATATTTTTATGTCCTGGGTTAAGAGAGATTTTCTGAATTTCCATGAAAAAAGTAGAGAATTCACCTCTGGGCTTGACAAACCTCTGTTAGTTGTTAAAGACTGGGAGAGTCATATCCATGGGTACAATTCATGGTATGCAATGGTTATACTTATGAAAGTGTCTTATTTCCTGTTATTACCCTGGTGAAAGACAAGGAAAAAAATACGGGAACTGGCTTTTTTTTTTTTTTCCCCCCTCTCCCCAGTAATCCCATTTGAAAGTCAGACAGTAGATGGTTCTGGTTCTTGGGTGTGAATAAATTTTCTATTAAAGGAGCCCTCAGCTCTACAAAGGGGTAAAAAAGATCGAGTTCGCCTACTGGGGCAGAGAAGCTGCTGTACAGTCAAAAGCTGTTGCTGATACTGAGTCCTTTACAGGATCACAGCAGACAAGGCGGGCCCTCCCCCCCCCTTAGACAACTAAACAGATAATGAAAGAGGATATTTCTTGGAGAGGACTGTACAACCTAACCTTCCAGTATCAAAGTGCTGTCCTGGCTTTTTAAAAAGATTTTATTTATTTATTTATGTGAGACAGAGAGAGAGGGAGCAAGGGGTGGGGAGGGGTAGAGTGAGGGAGAGGGAGAAGCAGTTCCCTGCTGAGCAGGGAGCCTGATGTGGGGCTCTATCCCAGGACCCTAAGATCAGGACCTGAGCTGAAGGCAGACGCTTAACCGACTGAGCTACCCAGGCGCTGCTGTCCTGATCTTTTTAACTGTAACTTGTTTCGATGTTCCTTTTCATGGCCGAATTGGATGTATGTGGTGAACTCTGTACATTTACTAATCACTTTTTTTCTGTTGAGGGTTTTTTAAGTGCAGCTTTTCCTTTGGAAAGGTGGCAGATTGACAAGCAGAGAGATCGCACTCATGTGCTGTGGCAGGATATACGCCCTACCAGTAATAGGGGTCTGTGTGTTTTCATGCTTGGCTTGACTGTCTCTTTGCATATTATTTACCTGGTATGGTTCTTATTTTTCTTTTAGAAACTTTTGTGGGGTGAAAAAGAGAAACTCCTAAGTTTTTAAATGTAGTTACTACGTGTGACTTAATTTTGACCATTGTATTTTTGGCTTGATGGAAGGTCCATCCCGCATGGCCATAGGATGGACAGAGGGACCCTCACCATCTTCCCTCAAGCCCTATGGCCTTGTCTTACTTAAATAAAAGCACATACAGGGCATATGAAAACATGTGGCCATACACAGATACAGGTATAGATAGATAAATGGCACAGGAAAGGATTAGATTCTAAAGTGTGATGATCCCTAACTGGGGGAACAGAGAGATGGGAATGACATATACCTTAAATGCTAAATATTGTTTCAAAGGAAAAGCTAATGAGATCGCTTTAACAAGTTAGTTTATTTCAAAAGCATCAACTAAGTGTCAGCCCAATGCCTGTTTTTACTTAATCACAAATTCCAACCTTAAATTAGGCTCAATTATTGACATTTTTCAGTGATAAAGGATTCTACAGTCCTCAGTGACTAAAAAAAAATTTTCATAGGAATTTTTTGTCTTCTTTTTACTTTTATATTATTAAAATATTAGGTATTTTAAAATAATTTTTATATTTATGTATAATTGTTTTAAAATGGTTTTAAAGGTATTGAACAAAGATTCCAAAATGTCTTTTTTCTTTGTGCCACATTTCAGTTTTACTTGCTTTCTAATATCCTTCAAAAGCTGTTTATCGCATTCCCTCTTTGGTCAGTGGGGGATAAATGTTGTGGCTTCTTCTCAGAAATAAGTGTGTGCCAGAAGCTTAAATATATAAACCTATGTATTAGGCTAATGCTTTCCCCTTATAAGGCTAATGCTCTTCAATTTCATAAACACCTGTTAAAAACCTTTTAGGTGAGAGAAGCTATAGGAGAGAGGTAGAATTGGATTTTTATTTTCAGGCTTTTCTTTGAATCAATTTAAAGTGTTAACACCTTAAGCTGGGCCAGCATGTCTGTGTGCCATAAGACTCCACCACTCCCTATAGCATTATAGATAAATTTCATAATTGTATATTACCTCCCTGACCACCTCTGTGGGAAACTCAAGAAGAGATAGACACAAGCATAACAAGAAATTTTAATATGATTCAGTGACAAATCCTTGATGGAATGGCATATTTCGAAGGGACAGTTGTGACCGTGTGGGGAGACAGGAAGGTGTGGCAATACGCGCACAGCCCAGGCCCATAGCAGGTACTGGGAGGGCTTGAGTTGGGACACTAAAGGCTTTTTTACATCTGGGTTTTGCTTTGGGCAGGCCCGGATAAAAACTAACAGATGCAGCGCCTGTGTGGCTCAGTGGGTTAAGCCTCTGCCTTCGGCTCAGGTCATGATCTTAGGGTCCTGGGATTGAGCCCCGCATCCATTGGGTTCTCTGCTCAGCAGGGAGCCTGCTTCCCCCTCTCTCTCTGCCTGCCTCTCTGCCTACTTGTGATCTCTGTCAAATAAAATCCTTAAAAACAAAACAAAACAAAATAAAAAACCTAACAGATGCAGTGCCTGGATGGCTCAGTTGGTTAAGCAGCTGCCTTCAGCTCAGGTCATGATCCTGGAGTCCCAATTGAGTCCAGCATCAGGGTCCCAGTCTGCTCCTCCCTCTGACCCTCCCCACCTCATGCCGTCTCTCTCTCTCATTCTTTCTCAAATAAATAAAATCTTAAAAAAAAAAAAAAAAGAAGATTAAAAAACTTATGTGGTGGGGCGCCTGGGTGGCTCAGTGGGTTAAACCTTTGCCTTCGGCTCAGGTCATGATCCTGGGGTCCGGGGATCGAGCCCCGCATCGGGCTCTCTGCTTGGCGGGGAGCCTGCTTCCCTTCCTCTCTCTCTGCCTTCCTCTCTCTCTGCCTGCCTCTCGGCCTACTTGTGATCTCTCTCTGTCAAATAAATAAATAAAAATCTTAAAAAAAAACAAACTTATGTGACATCTTTTTAAGAACTTTCCTTTTCTCTTTTTGTTGTTTGTTTTGTTTTTCTGTTTGACCTTCCTATCAGGTGAACACGCAGGATTTCAGAGGGCTAGTTCGGGAAGATGCCGTTCTCTACCTGCTGGAAATCCCCAAGGGTGAAATGGTAACCATTTTAGCTCAGAGCCGAGCTGATGGTGAGCAAATCTGGTCATTAGTTTAATCTGGGGAGTGGGGGGAAGGATGAGAGTGGTATCTTGGGACCAGAATAGGTAAATTGGGTGTTAAAAATTTGAAGTATATCTTCACAATCAATTTCTGGGTTACAGTTTTGTGGAGAAAATTTGGGTACCACTTAATGTTCTATAGAAATGCTTTCTGTGCACCAATTGAAATAATTTTACCAGTTGTGTTAATTTGAATAAAATTGCTTTTCTGAATAGTTATCTATCCTTAATTATTGTCTGGAGTTTTACTGACTTTTCCAGGTGAAAGATTCAATGGGCCATGTCTTTGGGTCAGCTTCCACATTAACGCTTACCAATCTGACAGGTTGCTGCCCCCTTGCAAGCCTCACTGTTCTCATCTGTAAAATGGAGGTTGACAGCCTCTTCTGAGTCAGCTTCGGAGGCTGACCGGCAAGTGTATTAGGGTTCTCTAGAGAAACAGAATCCATAGGGGGTGTGTGTGTATATAAATAGAGGTTTATTATAAGGAATTGTCTCATGTAATTATGGATTGGCAAGTCCCAAGGACTGCAGGGTGAGTTGGCAGGTTAGAGACCCAGGAGAACCGATGATTTGGTTGTAGTCCAAGACTGGAGGCATGACAACTGGAAAAGCTGATAGTGCAGTCACAGTCTGAAGGCTGGCAAGCTCACAGCCCAGGAAGACCTGATGTTTCCATCTGAGTGTGAAGGCAGGAAGAAAGCCGATGTCCTAGTTTTAAGACAGGAAGACTTCTTTTTTTCTTACTTGGAGAAGGGTTCCCCTTTGTGTTCTTTCAAGCCTTCATCTGATTGGATGAGGCCTGCCACATGAGGGAGCACAATCTGTTTTATTCAGTCTACCCATTTCAATGTTAATCTCATTCCATAATACCCTCAGTTATACACAAAGAATAATGTTTGACCAAAATCTGGGCACCCGGTGGCCCAGTCAAGTTGACACACAAAATTAGCCGTCACAGCAACTCATGAAGTTAGTTTTTTGTCCTTCTTCCTATTTGAGCCCTGATTGCCACAGGGCCTGTCCACTGAGTTTACTAAATGAAGAGAAGTGAAAAGGGGGATCAGAAATAGAAGCAGCCGGTAACTCTTCAAGAAAAGACCTCTGCTAAGCAGATCGTAACATACAAGAATGCTTTTGTTTTTCAGTGTATAGAGACATCCTGGCTTGTGGCAGAGGGGATTCCTTTTTTATAAGAAGCCACTTTGAATGTGAGAAGGAAACCCCACAGAGCCTGGCCTTCACCAGGGGGGAGGTCTTCCGAGTCGTAGATACGCTGTACGATGGCAAGCTGGGCCACTGGCTGGCTGTGAGGATCGGAAACGAACTGGAGAAAGGCTTAATCCCCAACAAAAGCAGGTATCTGAGATCCCGTACTCCCACACACCTCTCTTAAGCTCCACACCCCCCAAAATCAATTACAGTCCCTTCCCTGCTCAGAGAGGAAGCCCCACATGACTTCATCATTTGTCTTCGTGTCCTCTCCCATCACCTCCTTCTGGTTCATGAGAAGTGGCCTGGGGGACGCCTGGGTGGCTCAGTTGGTTAAGCAGCTGCCTTCGGCTCAGGTCATGATCCCAGCGTCCTGGGATCGAGTCCCGCATCGGGCTCCTTGCTCGGCAGGGAGCCTGCTTCTCCCTCTGCCTCTGCCTGCCATTCTGTCTGCCTGTGCTTGCTCTCTCTCCCTCTCTCTCTCTGACAAATAAATAAAATCTTAAAAAAAAAAAAAAAAAAAAGAAGTGGCCTGGGACTGGGAGATAGCCACCAGCTGGTTTGCTGTATTTAGTTCGCGTCACGTAGTTGGTTGTTGCGCCTGGCTGGTGTTTAAACAGTCCTATGGCGTGTCTGAGCAGATGCCTGAGTGGCTGGAGTGCATCAGCACAGCTCTCCGACAAGCTGCCCTTGTCCACTGTCTGGCCCTCATCCTTGGGAGAGGCTTTTGCACTCCAGTTAACATTTATTGGTTGGCTGACTGGGGGAAGAAAGAAAGATAATGTACTTTGGCAGGGATTTTGGTTATGTTTACTATATACCAGCCTACTAAAATGAGCCAAGTTAATAATTGTGTTTGTTACTGAGCTATTTTCTGGTAGATTTTATGTGTACCCAACCTTTCTCTGCTTCCGCTGGGTGAAGCGAGTCCACACTTTTCCCACTCTGTGAAACTTCTTCCACTGTGAAGCTGCATCTTCTCTAATCCAAGTTCATAAGCCTCACTGACTGGTTTTGGTTAATTTTAACTTCAATTGTGCATTTTCTGGCTTTAGAGATTTACTACATTTGGTTTTTTTTCTCTCAGAGCTGAACAAATGGCCAGCGTTCAGAATGCCCAGAGAGACAATGCTGGGGACAGAGCAGATTTCTGGAGAATGCGTGGCCAGAGATCTGGTGTGAAGAAAAACTTAAGGAAGAGTCGTGAAGACCTAACAGCTGTTGTGTTGGTTAGCACCAAGTTCCCCGCTTATGAGAGGGTTTTGCTGCGAGAAGGTAAGGAAGCCAAGTGGGAAATGATCTGACTGGGTTCTGAGCCTGTTTTCTTCATTTTCAGACTGCAGTAGTCAGGTTGAAACTTCCCATACTACTTAAGCCAAAGCCAGGCTGTAGAGTTGCAATCATATTCATACATGCAATAATAACTTTCAGAAAAGTGACTTGTGCAAACTCCTACATGCAGGTGTATTTCCATGTCTTCAGTTATTTCTGTTAATACTACCCTTCAGAAGTTTATATATATTATCTGTAGCAAAGTTTATTTTTGATCCTGGCGAGGGGAGTGAGGCATATTCTTCAGAAAAGAGCAGGGCTAAAATGGGAGAGGAAGAACACAATTTCTTTCATTTAGTCATGTTATCATTGGCTTATAAAATACTTCTGCTTCGTATCTTTAGTAGCCGAGGAGATGTGTTTCCATGGCCTTTCTTGTCTCATTTCAGCTGGTTTCAAGAGACCTGTGGTCTTATTTGGCCCCATAGCAGATATAGCACTGGAAAAGTTGGCAAATGAGTTACCGGACCTGTTCCAAACTGCTAGTAAGTCTGTTGATGATTTTTTTTCTCTCCCAATTTTTATTTTGAAAAATACCAATATATAAGAAAGATGAAAAAATAATGAATACCCACATACCCTTCACATGAAGTCACTGTCACCTGTCAAAAAGTTTGCCTTATACCTCCCCTGCCATTTTTTACCCATGTAAATCTCCTCAGTACAAGGACATTCTTCTATATAACCACACCACATCACATAACAAATTTAACAAAGATATGGTAATACTGCTTAGTATATAGTCTGTTTATATAGTCTGTTCATGTCTTTCTAGAATCTTCCTTTCTTCTACTTTATTTCCTGACTTGCTGTGTTACAGAGTCCAAACCCCTGTCTCACCTGTCAGACTGCCACCTTCCTTGTGATTAGGTTTCAGTTAGAGAGGTAGTGTGTGTCCTTCTCATGGTCTCTCTTCAGGGCCTCCTGATGTCGGATGTCCTGTCCTTGCTGATGCTGGGTTGGAGTCTTTGGTCCTGATTTCTAAAAGTATTAATTAGCTCTTTGTTTTTTGCTTTTGCAGAAACAGAACCAAAAGATGCAGGATCTGAGAAATCCAGTGGGGTAGTGCGGTTAAATACCGTGCGGCAAATTATTGAACAGGTGAGGAAGTTCATCCAAAAGCCATGTTGTTGGAAGGAATTGAGTCACAGTTTGCCACAGTCCTGTTTGGAATAGAATCTGTATTTTAATAATCATTAAATGTTAATGATAAAAAAGTGAATATAAACATAACCCGTTGGCAACCAGTCGATGTGGAAACCATCGATGTTCAGTGGCAGTGATGGATGGTTTTTTCAGAGTTCTCAACATTCTACCAAATAACCTGTTCATTCATTTTCTCAGAGGTGGGCATAATATGGAGGAAAACGTTTTCTGCTTTTTGATTTAAACTGACAAGTTTTACCTGATGTAGCCTTTACTTGAGACAAACTCTTGGCTGCCCTGTGACTTTACATACTTGTTGACGTAACTTTGCCCCATTTCTAACAGGATAAGCACGCACTATTGGACGTGACTCCTAAAGCCGTGGACCTGTTGAATTACACTCAGTGGTTCCCAATTGTGATTTTTTTCAACCCAGACTCTAGACAAGGTGTCAAAACCATGAGACAGAGGTTGAATCCAACATCCAACAAAAGTTCTCGGAAGTTATATGATCAAGCCAACAAGCTTAAAAAAACTTGTGCACATCTCTTCACAGGTAAGTGAAATTTAAAATGTTGTCTCTTTGCTTCACAGTGGGAAATGGAGAATTGAAGAATGGAAGAAATAAGAAAATAATCTGAACAAAGAAGAGTAATCTGAAATCCTATTCATGACTCCTTGAAAAGAAACTAATCCTAAAATGATATTAGACTCATGGCATTTGTAGATTTAATTTTGATTGAAAATGATCATAGAGATCCATGACATGCAAAAATTGGTCACTTTGATGAGTTCAGATTTTTGTGTGGAACTACAGGCCAGTGACTGAGCCCAGTGTACCATCTAGCACCCACATCTCTATCTAGATTCTATCATTGTTCTCTGCTTACCATGCATGTGTGCACTAACAGAGTGGTAGGAACTTGGTTTCATTATTTAAAAAGATCCCCAAAATAGAAGCTTGAACACTCTGTATGATTAAGGATTTATTACTCCCATTTTAAGGATAATAAATGATACTGTGATTATATTTAAAAATACTAAGTAAAATATTCATGGATGGACCTAATATGTATTTATGGATGACCTAATATGATGCCTAGTGTTTGCTTACATAATCTTTGGTGAGGAGAGTGGGTGGGGATGTCGATAAGACTGGCCAAGAATTGATAATTTTTCAAGGTGGGTAATGTAGACAAGTTCATGTTCTCTCTACTTTGTATATGTTTAAAATTTCACATAATAGAATTTCTTAAGTTCCTGAAATGAAGACCACTGCTAGCTAGTATTCCTTATAAAAGTAAAATAATTTAAGAATGTAGCATGTTTAGTAACTGAATATGTACAGTAGCTATATATGGGACTGGTTCTGTAAATGTGGTATAATTCAGGGTTTAAAAGGGTTAAATCAAGTTTTTGGTCATGCAGTTTTGTGGGAGCAGCATGAGGGGACTGTATGGATAGAACACCCTGAGGGTAATGATAGCTCTTCGAGTTGATGCTGCTTACCATCTACCTATCTGACCCTGGGGAGGGAGGGAGTAGATGAATATATGTCCACAGTGGACTCTTGCTTTATTGTCACTGGCTTTTCTTGTTAAAGACACGCACTATTTACCACTGGGGTGAAATGGCGAAACTGACAGGTAATTTCTCCAAATGTACAGGAGAGAGTGGTCTATAATAAACTGGGTTTTTGCGAATGTGGAGTCTTAAGAGTCAATTTCTCTTCTCTAAAATGGGGACAATAGTGATACCTATTTTGTAAAGTTTGGATAAACGAGAAATGAGCTAATCCATGTAAGGTTTGGAAAAGTGCTTGCTGATGCATAGTAGTTATATAAGGTATATTTCATTCTGAATAGAAAATATATATTCCTTGTAGAGTTAGTCTGAATATATATTCTAAAATATTTAAGCCTATCAAAATTACATACACTTAAATGTTACCTTTAATATTTTTTTGAAGATATCAACAGTAAATTTGTGTATGTTTTTCTTATTTATAACATACATGCCTAGGTAACGATCTTTAAAATACAGTACTTTTGTATTTGTTCTAGATGTGTTTTCTTTGCTCCTAAAAATACAGTTGTTAAAAACTTAACCTTTTGGGGCACCTGGGTGGCTCAGCTGGTTAAGCGACTGCCTTTGGCTCAGGTCATGATCCTGGAGTCCTGGGATCAAGTCCCCCAGCAGGCTCCCAGCTCTCTCAAATAAATAAATAAAATCTTAAAAAAACAAACAAACTTAGCTTTTCTGAAAAATAGATATTCTGAAATAAAAGTAACTCATTTTTAGCTTTATAACATTCATCTGTAATGTAAACTCCCAACAGCTAGACCAGTAATGGTTTTAATTACATTCAACTAAAGGGATTTATTGTTCAAATATGTGTTTACTTTCTCTTGCATTAGCCAAAGTTTTAATTCAAATATGACAAATGAGTAAAATTATGTGAAGTAGCATTTTTAATAAACATTGCTCTGGAAATTGATGCAAACCTTTTGTTTACATTTCTGAAGCTACTATCAACCTAAATTCAGCCAATGATAGCTGGTTTGGCAGCTTGAAGGACACAATTCAGCATCAGCAAGGAGAAGCAGTTTGGGTCTCTGAAGGAAAGGTATGTGGCATAGATACTTTGCTATGAGGTGAGAGTCCATGTTCTCAATCTTTTCTCAGGAGGGTAGTGAATGTAGAACACCATGGCCGTTTGAAGTGATTCCAGTGTATGTGCTAATCAAGTTTGGAATTTTATAAATTCTCTAAGACTTTTCAAAGAAAAGTAGAATGTGATGTATGTGACCCTACATTCACTTCCCTTTTACTTTTAACGTAGTAACTAGTGTTGTATTCCAAGCACACTAATCAGAGCTTACAAGATCTTGTGCTGAGCTCCACAGCTTACTAAGGATATGGGAAAGTCAGCATGGAAGGGAGAGGTGAGGATGAGGGTCATGGAGAAGGTATTTAAAAATTGATTTAAAAAAGGAAAAGTTGGCATCATTTGCTTAGAAGACTGGAGGAGAATGTGTCCTAGGAATGTGGAATTCGAGTAGGTTGGTAAGAGAATGCTCAAAACCTTGTGTAGGCTTCTAAAACTGGCGAGCTTCTCATTCATGCAGGTAGTTTACCCACAGTTCTGCTGAAGGGAGGAAGCAAAGAAATTATACCAATCTCCTGTGGTTCTAAGGCTTTGGTGCTAGTATTCTGTAGTCCAGCTGAATTGAACTAGTTTGTGAGATGTCAGAGGATGCTTCTGTTGCGAAAGTGACTCAGTTACCAATTAGATTGTTGAGTCCTTGTCTTGCCCTTTGGAAACTGCATATTTAGTCAAAGCGTCTAGCATCTTCTGAGCGCTTAGAGCCTGCTGAGGTTCTGTGCTAACTCCCTTTATGAGAACAGGTTGAACAGGACATAGCTTTCTTCCTCAAGGATTTGAGAATCTTATGGAGGAATGGAGAGGTGTGTAGCACCAGGCAGTGTACATTTATTATAAGAGACAAGTATTAGCAGAAAAAGCTGGAAAGGAGCCCAAATTCTTGGAGAAAAGCATAACAATTTGAGGAAGCATGGCTCAGTAGTGGGATATAGGATGGTGGTAAGGTATATAGGATGGAGGTTCCTAATTTGAATCCCTGCACAAAAATTAACATAATAATCTTAAGCCAAGTGATTTAAGGAAAATAAAGATGACTTCCCTTTCTAGAACATGTCAAAGTTTCAGTCACTTGGCTGTGCCCTTGGGAATTTTCTTGAGTCCCCACTCCCAGGAGCCATGATGACCCCACTGACCCTCCGAAACAAATTCCTCTAGATGGAAGGGATGGATGATGACCCTGAAGACCGCATGTCCTACTTAACTGCCATGGGCGCAGACTATCTGAGTTGCGACAGCCGCCTCATCAGTGACTTTGAAGACACCGACGGTGAAGGAGGCGCCTACACTGACAATGAGCTGGATGAGCCAGCTGAGGAGCCACCGGTGTCTTCCATCACCCGCTCCTCGGAGCCGGTGCAGCATGAGGAGGTGAGGTGAGGCAGGCCGCAGGCTGTGAGGCCATGAGCAGGAAAAGGAGGTTCTCCTGTTTCACTTGAATTCTTCTGGATAACTGTTTATTTAGGGTGCTGTGGAAGGTATTCCTAAGAGTTGGAACAGAGGACTTCTAGGGGGTTTCTGATTCCAAGTCGATGCCTGTACAATAGCATTTGTGGTCCGTGGGAAAGCCAGACAGGAACTAAGTGCTGGGAGAAGTTGAGTGATAAGCACTCTCACACTGATGTTCTCGAGCATGATGGATACACTAAACAGCTCTATGTGCCAGCTGTCTAAATTACAAATGGAACATTATTTTTAAATATAATTTTGTGGTATTTACTTGTAACCTTTGATTAGGTCTCTTTGTACTTTTAGGTATCCTTGCTTTTTCTTATCCTACCTTTAACCTTTCTAATCTTGCCAAAACTCCTGAGTATTTCCCCATCAGTTTCCTTCTCTTTTGTACTTCAATTTTTTAATTGAGTTTATGATCAGATATACATCTGATCATGTGTACTGTGCATCCACCAGTGAACAGACAGTTTCTGTGATCCCAGAGATCGTGTCAACAGGCACTAAGTTAGGACCAGTTATTAGCTCCACCTCAGAGAGCACTGGGATAATGTAGATGACGTTATTCATCTATTTGAGTAGTTGTTCTTGTGGACTTCTGTTTAACAAGTCAGCTCATTTGGGTGAATGGTTTTATTCTTTATGAAATAAAAGTACCAAAAAAAATAAGTTGAAGTGGGGGTAAAACCCACCAAGGCCAAAAATCTAGTATATACCAGTGGACAAGTTTCAAAGAATAAATTAACTTGCTAATGTCTAAAGGTGTAGATGAGGTAAGGCTTAAAAATATTAACAGCTTTAAGTGATAAAAGAGATTTAGACTTTAGGAGAACTTTGGGGGGGATTATTTTAAAGGAAGAGACTACTACAATGGATGATAGTTAAAAAATATATATAAAGCATTTGCTAATGGGAATATGCTAGTACCTATCTGCCTTTTCAGTAAAGAAGCACTGGGTCAGTATCCCGATTTGTGCAAGTTATGAACCTCAACTTCGGAACATCTTGCAACTTGGCAGAACTCTAGCAAAGCAGATGAGCGTTCTCTTCTCTTTGCTGGGATCTTCTTGTTGTGAATGAACCTTTATGTCTTGTAGAGCATAAGGAAACCCAGCCCAGAGCCACGAGCTCAGATGAGGAGGGCTGCTAGCAGAGATCAACTTAGGGACAGTAGCCCACCCCCAGCATTCAAGCCAGAGCCGCCTAAGGTACGTGGCTGGGAAGCCCACGATGGGGAGGAAGAATAAGCAGATACCCGGACAGCTTCCTGCATAGCCAGGAAGAGCACAAATGAGATGGTGTTTTGTTTTTGGCTCACTCTTTTGTTACTAAGATGTGTCTTTTGGTTCGTGGGGTGAACCCCGAAAGTAGAGAAGAGTAAAAAGAAAGAAGGGCAGTTTTAGGAGAACATAAGGTTTTAGAACTGTTGATATTTTATTTATTTATTTATACACTTATTCATTCATTCATTATTTTGTTTTTTATTTCAAAACCTTTTTTCTATCAAGAGTAAAAGTTGGACAAATACTGAATGTCCGGAAGCACTGATCTCAGAATCTGCTTTTCTTTTTCAGTTAAAGTTTTCTGCTCACAATCTGATTTAGATATAAATATAGATCTAGAAAATCCCTGATTGATGATTTATTTACTAAAGAAAACAATCACCACCACTCTTTATGATGCCTCTCATTATCAAGACAGCTTAATTTATTTTTAAATTATATCATTACTCAGAATCAATAAGAATTGACATGGTATATGTCATATGATTTTTTTACCCCCTTTCTGAATCAATTCTATATAAATAAAGGCTTTCCTTAATAACCCAATAAAATTTCTCCATTTAACTCAATACTTTAGATAGGAAGAAAGTAATCAGTGATTATGTAATCTGTCAGAAACAGTAGCCTCATAAGATATATCACTGAAAATGTACAAACAGGCTTAGGATTGAAGTATGAAGGAAAAGTGGCCATTAGCATTATATGCTGCCCTTCCTGCTCCAGTCTCATTCATGGCTGAGCAGAGACCTTCCCTCTGGGGTAGGGCAAGCACCCTTAGTGTATGAACTCAGGATCCCACTCTTCAATCCTAAACCCCTTGACTTGTTCTGAAGTCTTTTTCAAGATACTGATTTTAATCTCCTCTAGTACAAAAGTAGGTCTGATCTGCCTCTACACTCGCAGGCCTCCCAGCCGCTCCTCAATACCCTCTGGTTTCCTAGTGCTCTTAATATTTTTTTTCTAGGAAGCAGGGTAGGGCTTAGGATGCCCATCCAGTGGCTGTTTGTCCTGCAGTATTTGATTTCTTGTCAGAATGGTATTTGTTGACTACCTCTGGAAACTGATCAGGAAATGGGAGTGTGTATTAAATCACTAATACAGATTTGAACATAAACTGAAAGCCCAAGGTAAAAATTTGTTCATTGTTCTCTGCAGGCCAAAATCCAGAACAGAGAAGAATCCTTTGACTTCTCCAGATCCCATGAATATAAGTCAAACCCCTCAGTCATTGCTGGTAATGAAGTTTCCGGGGCACCTACCAAAGGCTGTCCCCCTCCTGTTGCAGCAAAACCTGCCTTGGGAAGGTCTATATTGAAGCCCTCCACTCCTGTGCCTCCCCCAGAGAGTGAAGAGGTGGGAGAGGGCAGTGAGGAACAAGAAGGCACTCCCAAGTCTGTCCTGGGCAAAGTAAAAATATTTGAGAAGATGGATCACAAGGCAAGATTACAGAGAATGCAAGAGCTCCAAGAAGCACAGAGTGCAAGGGTAATTATTTTTAAACCAGTAGATTACCTTAGTATGTCAACAGTAAAAATGTTAAGTTTCATTTCATATAATGATTTGCAGTCCTTTTTTTTTTTCCACTGGTATAGACATGAAAAGGATGTTCACATGCCTGATACCACAGGCACATGCTATGTTTATGTTATTTCCAGGTTGCCAGCTATCACTGTGTCCCTTTTTCTTCTCATCAAGAAAGCCTAACAGTATAGGTGAAAAAGATTCTTTTCATACCTCAGAACTTTCTATCAGGTTCGGGAACGGGAAAGTATGACAAGAGAATCAGTGCCTCTCTGAAGTTAGTTCTCATGAAAACATTTGTTGTATTTGTTTGGTAACTGAATTTTAATTTGCTCCCAGATTTGCCATAGAAACCAAGCAAACCTTGGATGCTAAAATGAAAGGCCCACAGATTGTACTTTTTGATACTGTTTGAATTTTTGTACCATATGCACATCTAACCTTTCAAAAGTCAAAGAAGAATATAAGTCAAGACTCATGAACATATTCTGCCCAGTGAATATGGGAGGTTTTTTTGTTTTTTGTTTTTTTTTTTCATTTAAGTCCGTTATAGCAACAGTGCAGTGCTTCTGAGCATTTTTCTTTTGTTTTGGTTGTTTTGGTGGTAAAATACATATAACATTTATCATTTTAACCATTTTTTCCCATTTTAACTATTTTTTAAGTGTTCATGGCATTGAGTATATTTACAGTGTTCTGCCATCATCACCACCATCCATCTCCAGAACTTGTTCATCTCTCCTCACTGAAACTCCCCATTACCCACTTCCTCTGTCCCTGGTAATCACCGTACTTTCTGTCTTCATGAATTTGACGACTTAGGAGCCATTTAAATGGAATCACATGGTATTTGTCTTTGTTTTAGCATGTGGCAGAATTTCATTGCTTTTAAACATTTTTCTTATTTGATATGTAATACTAGGCCATCACATACAACCATAAAAACTAGAGAGTTGCTTTTATTTTTTCTCCTCTGCTTAAAATGGGATTGGGAAAGGGAACCAACAAGAAACCAGCAAGCCACTCAGCAATCATTCATTCTTCCCTTTTCGTTCTTTTCCCTCCCCACCTTAATTACCACAGATTGAAATTGCTCAGAAACATCCTGATATCTATGCAGTTCCAATCAAAACACACAAGCCAGACCCTGGCCTTTCCCAGCACACAAGGTAAGGGCTGCTCAGCAGTATTAAGTCTAGAAAGGGGGCTGGTCTAAGATTTGGACTCCTAAGAAAGAATTTTTTCACCTATATCTCAGTGTAACAAGAAGACTTTTTTTTCCCCTCCCCAACTATTTCCCTTACTTATTCAGTCAAAAAAAAGTTTAAAGATTTATTTATTTTAGAGAGAGTGAAAGCACAAGCAGGAGGGGCCAGAGGGAAAGGGAGACAGAATTTCAAGCAAACTCCTCACTGAGCGCACTCAATCCCAGGACCCTGAGCGGAAACCAATAGTTGGACACAACTGTGCCACTCAGACACCTCCTTACTCAATCAAATTATGAACATTATACAGTCAAAATTTCGTAGTAATTTTGCTTATCTGCTAAAACTGACAAAGTGTAATCACTGACATTCAAATTAGTCCCCTTTGTCACACTGAAGCACAGATATGTTACATTGTATTGAGATAGCACATGAGAAAAATTCCTGGGTTTAGACACTTAATTGTTTTGTCACTAATATATTCGGATTCTTAGTCAAGCTCCTTAATTCCATTGCAACACGTAGCAAAGTCAGGCCACTTGTGCTGAACTGAGGTCTTTTTTTTTAAAGATTTTATTTATTTATTTATTTGACAGAGATTACAGGTAGGCAGAGAGGCAGGCAGAGAAAGAGGAAGGAAAGCAGTCTCCCTGCTGAGTAGAGAGCCTGATGCAGGGCTCGATCCCAGGACCCTGAGATCATGACCTGAGCTGAAGGCAGAGGCTTTAACCCACTGAGCCACCCAGGCACCCCTGAACTGAGGTCTTAAGGGAAGGTGACAATCAGTTGACCAGTGTTGGTAAGATGCTTTATATTTAAAATGCTACATAAGCATCAGGAATTATGGGAGTATTTTTATACTGGATTGTTCCTGCTTCCAAGGATAGAAAAAAAAAGGTCACATTTTCTTGTGGCCAATCTGACTGGAAGCTAGAGTCTAGTTTTATAGCAATAGAAAACTAGAGGCATACTTCTTAACAACTGAACCATGGCCAACCAGGTGGCCCCTAGTTGACTGAAACTAGAAGAGAAATCACTCTACTGGGTGAACTTGTAGCCAAAGACACAGGGGTGGGAAGACACCCTTGGTCCAGTAGGGGAATTCTTACGTCAGGGAGCACAGGGCTGGCTTCCTCACTCACTGCCCCAGTCGGCACTGGCCTCAACCTGTTACTCCCACACGATGAACCTGAAGCAGGGCCAAAAGTGGCCCTGGTCTGTCAGCAAAGTGTGGCATGTGTCTCAGAGATTTGCGATCAGTCCGGGCACATGCCTGCGTTCCCACAGGGCAGTCAGAAGCCCTGGATGAGCTGTGGGATGCATTTAACACTCTCACTTTGTTAGTTCCAGGCCACCTGAGCCCCAGAAGGGTCCTTCCAGACTCTATCAGGATCCCAGAGGCAGTTACGGCAGTGATGCCGACGAGGAGGAATACCGCCAGCAGCTCTCAGAACACTCAAAGCGCGGCTACTACGGCCAGGCTTCCCGGTACCGGGACACAGAATTATAGAGGACGGCGAATTGACTCTTCTGTCTCTCCGCTGCCACGACCTCAGAGCAGCGACCCCACTGAGCCACAGGATGGTTCTTTCTAGTTTAACTACACTGTGGAGATGTGGGACCTCAACTCCCATTTCCTCACGGGGAGCCCAGGGGGCAGCCAGTGCAGATTAAGAACTGAAGGCTCTGTTTGTGGAACTGGGTCTTGGGAGTTTATGGCTTTTTGCTCAGAATTAAGAAAAACACTACAGTCTGATACTGTTACCTTTCTCAGTGGACCAAAATCTGTATTAATTCTGTTTGCATATTTTTAACATGTATATTAAGAAGTGAACTATTTTCCCTCATTAATATCTGCCTTCGAGGACTGTTTCAATGAGATGGAATGTGGAAAAGAAATTAAAATACTGTTGGGCTCAAACTAAATTCAAAGAAGTATTTTATTACAATTCTAAGTGCCTTTGATGAGAAGTGTCTTAAATTTTCTTCCTTTGAAGCTTTATGCAAAGCCATAATGGACTAAAAACGTTTTGACTAAAGTTTTATATCAGCTTAATAGCTATGGTTTTCTCTGTACTGTGTTATCTTTTCAAGGCATTTGTCTTTGTAATATTTTCAATAAAATCTGACTGTATATATAGTAGCTATACGTGGTAGTTCAGCTACCAGTGCTCAGTAGCTTGAAGACCAAGAAACTGGTATAGAAATTTTTTGTTTCTTTAAAATCATGTGCTCCACAAAAGCAGATACTTGGAAAACTGTATTTCTAAAAGTGCGTGTATTGACAAATTTTATAATTTAATAAAAAGGAGGATATTGCAATCAATAATTTGCTTTGTGGGAGATATCTCCACTAGTTTCTACTTCTAAAAGCAACTTTTATTTCAATTAGTGATCATGAAATGCGAGCACACTCATTGCTGAAGATGAAAATGGAGACCCATGTGGAAAAGAAAATGAAACTTACCCATCATCTCATCCTTCAGACAATTTTAGTGCATTTCCTTGGAGTACATATTTATGGATGTCTGTATGTGTTATAATTAGGATGTCTGTATGTGCAAATACTGTATTTGCAGTTTTCCTTTTTTTTTTTTTTTTTAAAGGATTTTATTCATGAGAGAGAGAGGGTGAGCATGGGGCGCGGGAGGGGGTGCGGAGAGACAAGCAGACTCCCTGCTGAGTGTGGAGCACCATGTGAGCTGATCCCCTCAACCTAGAGATCACGACCTGAGCCAAAATCAAAAGTCAGATGCTTAACCAATTGACCCACCGAGGCGCCTGTTTTCTAACTTTTCTATTTAACATTTATCATGAACGTTTCTCACAGATAGTTAAAACTCAGGTATGCATCATTGTTAGTAACTGCAGAATAGTACATCCTATGACTTCATAACTAGACGATTCCGCTATCTTTGGTAGTTTGGATTGTTTCCAGTTTTTGTCTCTTTTACATGAAATGTACCTCTGTGTGTAATCCATTTCTGTACATCAATGATCAGCATTTTAATCCTTTTCTGCAGGTAGTTGCTCAGAAGTAGAATTACTGAGCAAAAGCATAAGGAACATTTTTAAAGCTCTTAATGTTTACTGCCAGATTTCTTCCTAGAAAAGTTGCATCAATTTGTACTCCCACATTCACTCTTTAAAGGGTGAAATATGTTTAGAAGTTAAACAAGACAGCCTAGGAATTTAGGCTTGTATGAATTAAAAGTACACTGAATTTAGGAAAGGAGAAGAATCTTGGTTTCCATTAAGAGTCTTTTATAATGTGAATTTCTACAAAGGTGATTAGCTTTAAGTTGTTATAAATTCAACTTTTTCAAAACAGTTGTATTGGTAATAATGTCCTTGATGTTGTCTTTATCAGTCTTGGTGCTATAATTTATAAACCATTTAGTGCAGTACGATGAATTTCTGAGCAGTCCTGAAGACACTGACTCAAATCTGTGTATTTGGTAAACAAAAGTCTCCTTTTATGGATGGAAAAAAATTCATTGGTTATAAGATGAGTTAGTTTGCCTGTGTCCTTGAACTACCTGAATGAGCTTTTCTGCAAAGCCAGGGAAGGGAAAGGGGGCTTTTCATCAGGAGCTGAGCTGTCATTTGGCTCTAGCATTTATTTTGTGGTACATTAAGTGGTGCAGACCAGTAGGATCTCTGTTCCCCATAAGGTCCCACAGTATGTCCAATGGGGCACTAGTGCCTACCCCACCCATTTTTCATTAATACTCTGTTCTGGAAAGGAATTAAGGCTGTCTGTGATGTATGTGGATTGTAATTAAGGAAAAAACGGGCCCCAGACAAATGAGGAAAGAAGGGAGAAGAAAGTCAGAATAGGAAAGACAAAGGCACAAACTAAGGTAGTGTTCACTATATACACTGGGCTCCTCTGCTTTCCAAAGGCCCATGTAGGGCACAAGATGACTGCTACCTGATTTAACTCAAAATGTCCATAAGCACGTGGGGGAATCGTTCTGGAATTCTCCCCCTATATCCACTCTTTATTCTGCGGGGTTTCACACTGTGTCATGCACCCATGGCCACTTGTTTGCAAAGAGGACTTTGGAGGTCTGTTTCTTTCCTTTTCTTTTCCTAAAGATTTATTTTATTTAATATTTAATTAATTTATTTGACAGAGACACAGCGAGAGAGGAAGCAAAAGCAGGGGGAGAGGGAGAGGGAGAGGTAGGAGCAGGCTTCCTGGTGAACAGGGAGCCAGATGGGCTGGATCCTAGGCCCCTGGGATCGCACCCTGAGCTACAGGCATTAATCAACCGAACCACGAGGCGTCCCCTAAAGATTTTAAGTAATCTCTACACCCAACTTGGAGCTTGAACTCACAGCCCCGAGTTCAACGTCATACGCTCCACCCACCGAGCCAGCCAGGCCCCCGCCAGACGTGTTTCTTACGTGTGCTTTCATGGAAGCCAGTAGCACAATTCCACGGGCCCTTTGGTAAAAATTCTGGAAAAAGACCACCCTGGAGCCTACCTAGTCTAACCCAGACGTCAATTCTAAAGTACCCAGGGCCCATGCCTCCCAAATAGCAATATGAGAGGCATAAAGCCCCAAGAAACAGACATCCACCTTTCCGGAAACTCCATGTTACTCAAAGACGGGCGGGGGGTGCGGGGGAGGCGGCGTTTAAACACAGGGTAGGTCACGCAGCGCGACGCAAACCTCACACGGACTTGCAGAAGAAAAGCGGGCTCTTACCCGAACCACACTGCGCCTCAGCAGGTGCGCGGCCCCGGGCCTCCACGCCTGGCCCGCGACTCTGGCGTCCTCCGTGCGGGGGTCCTGCCTCACAAGCGGCGTGCTCCGTCTCTGCAAGTCAGAGCAGTGCTTCCTAACCCCATCGGTCGCCGAACTTCCTCGTTCTGTCCACCACGTTTTTGCTTCAGGGACATTAGAAATGGAGCGGAGGGGGAGGGGGAGGCGCTCGGGGGGTAAGTCTGAATTCGGGTGGCAGCGCCAGTACCAGGTCTTGAGTATAAACCGCACAGGAAGTACAAAGTAACTCCTCCATGGGAGGCCGGAGCTTAATCCCACCAAGAAACGCTGTGGAACGGTGTAAAACAGTTGCCTCATAGTTTTCCCCCTCAGGCGGCGGGAGAGCCCGGCCACCTGTTGGCCAGCTGGCCTCGGACTTTTGAGGGCTGCTCTGTGCGCGAGCGCGCGTATGTGTACGCATGCGCCCGTGCGTGTGTCTGCGCATGCGCCCGTGTGTGCGTGTGCACGTGTGCGCATTGCATGACCTCGCCCCTCACTCTTAAAGGACTTCGTGCAAGAGAGTGACGGCTGAGAAGCTGGAGCGCCCTGCGGAGCAAGGTGCCTGGGCCCAGAAAGCCCCACAGTATGTGTCAGGATGATGAATGGGCTATGGATCTGCTGAAGCCTCCAAGATGAGAGATGTTTTCTGTGTAGTGTCTTAGCGATTGGCTGGGAGAGACATTAGAAGAACCAGGGCGTTGTCCTTAGGCAGAATAGGGAGGGGAAAGCCTACGCACCTGTATCAGCCAGGGTTCTCCAGAGTAACAGAACCAATGGGATGGAACATCCGGGTGGCTCAGTTGGTTAAGTGTCTGCCTTCTGCTCAGGTCATCATCCCAGGGTCCTGGGATCAAGACCCCTGTCAGGCTCCCTGTTCAGCAGAGAGCCTGCTCCTCACTCTCCCTCTGCATGCTGCTCTATTTGTGCTCTCTCTCTCTCTGTCAAATAAATAACTAAAATCTAAACAAACAAAACAAACAAAAAACCACCAACAGGATGTGTGTCTATGTATTTTCATTTATTTTAAGGAATTGGCTCATAGGATGAGTACCTCCAAAATCTGTAGAGCAGGCAAGAGGTATAGAGACCTCCTGCAGGGGCAGCCCTCACAGGTTATAAGCTCATGTTCTAGAATCAAAGCAGTTTTACATCAATCCCCAGTTTTGTCAGTTATTAGCATAGAACCTTGGGCAAGTTACTCAACTGTTTAAGTCTGGTTCTTTTCATGTATAAAAGGACAGGAAACGGCAACACTATGTCATACTTTGTGTGTGCACACCATCCCTACATAGGATGGTGTGCACAAAACATTTGCAGTAGTAGTTGGCACAAAATAAATGCTCAATAAAAGTAGCTAGTAGCGTTATCGCCAACAGTGGTTTCACCATACCAATTTAGAAACATGAGTGGTGTCTTTGATTTTCTTACTCTTCTTCCAAATGATGACCTACTTTATTCTACTTAAGAACTATGTTTAATTTGTCCCTTTGTCCCTTTTCCCACAGCCACTACCCTAGTTCAGATGGTTGTAAACTTTCTAATCCTCTCTCCAGCTCAACAGAATCATCTTTCTAAAATAGATCTGAGAATGTTTCCTGTTGCTTAAAAAAAGTGATGACTTCCCTCCTCTACCGCAAAGTTTAATTCTTTTATTTTTTATTGAGATATAATTGACATATAACATTGTGTAGGCTTAAGGTGTGCAATGTGTTGACTTGATACATTTATCTATTGCATTATGATTACCACCTCAGTGTCAGCTAACACCTCTAACATATTATAAAAGTATAGTTTTTTGTTTGTGTGTGTGTGGTGAGAACAAGTAAAACCTGGTCTCTTAGCAATAAAGTTCAGTTCTTTATCAAAGCATTCAAGGTTTTCTACTGTCTGTTCCTGTGGTAGACTGCATCATTGTTTCTAATTCTTCATGCCCTCTCTTCACCATGTCCTTTGCCATATGCCTTTACAGTTCCTTCCACTAAAGGGTTGGAATGCATTTCCCCACCCCTGGGCTTTGGATTGACCATGTGTTTTTCTCTCTTGCACCTCTGCTATCTTATGAGAGGGAACTGCTCAGGCTAGCAGCGGTTCTCTGAGCAGGGTGAGAGAGATGTGGAGCAGAAACATTCTAGCTGAGTCCAGCCTATATTGGCAGATGCATAAGAAATAATAAACAAGTGTTGTCTTAAACCACTGAGTTTTGGGGTGGTTTGTTATGCAATAGTAGACCCCAAAATCCTTTTTCAGGCAACTTTCTCCTGCTAAACCCATGTATGTTCCAATTTCATAGGAGGACTTGTTCCCAACTGTGATACTGTGATGTATAAAAAATACATAGTTCAGATAACCAAAATATATTTCTCACTTTGGTCTTTGTCCACAGTTCCTGGTTCACAGCTCCCTAAACCCTTGGAACTTCGTAAGTGTTAAGAGTGGTAAAGACATCTTTTATTGTATTAACAAGGTGATTTTTGGTCCCCACCCATAGATGTGGGCTGGTTGCCTGGAGAACAAACCATGTGATTAGAGCTTTGGAAACATCAGTGCCCA